GTTACTTGGAAGATGGTGTTGGACTTTGACCCCATGTCTGAAGAGAAAGGATTCTATCATGAATTTACGTCAAAGGAAGGGCAAAGCAACTTGGTCACCATGATAACTCCTGCAGAGCTGAGGAAAAGCTCCATGGGAAGTCTGCTTCGTCAACTTGATCCTCAGAAAACGCAATGGCTTTTTGTCAATGGAAGGCAAAGTGACACAGAGGGAAGTGCACAGTTGTTTCCGGATTGGGAGGCTACTTCAGTAAAACACATCAGTAGGCTGTTTGGATGTTATTCTGATCCTGACAAGTTTGACAAGCAAAAGCCGATCGTGTGCGTTATCCTTCCATTTCGCGAGAAGAGTCTATCCTTCTTAGAGGTAACGTTGAGTCGTCTCATAGAAAACTTTGACGAATTCAAGTTACAATTTGTGTCGTTTAAGCACAAGTTCTGTGACCTGATTTCACGAAAGTTTGAGGTGCGAAATTTTGACTTAAGCCCAGAACGTGTTAGTCTGGGACTGTCAGAAATTCTCGGCGCTACATCAACACAAGTGTATCGCATGCCCTCTTCGCAAGCTGGCCTTCCTGCAAAACTCACTCAGAATGAGTTCCTGTACCTCAAAGAACACCTACAAATCCTTTATGAAGGATGTGAAGATCTCCCAGAATTCTCACATGATAAAGCAGAAGTGCAAAATTTTTTCGAAGAACATAGAAAGTCCTTCATTTCAGGAAATCCTATCTCACTCGTAAGTCTTTACGACAATCACGACGCACGAAGAGAAATTGAGATGGATATTCGAAGCCATGTTCAACGTCTCCTCGACCAGGGTTTGACACGATCCGTGATTGTAGAAATTAGACACTCACCTGGAACAGGTGGTTCCACTATAGCTCGTCGTGTTGTGTGGGACCTTCACAAAACCCACCCCTGTGCAATTCTGGAAATAACGAGTTCTCGTTATTATTTCGATGATGACAACACACTATCCACCAAATTTGCTGACCGAATTTCAGCATTAGAGGAACTTTGCCATACATCACCTTTGATCCTAATCGACGGGAAACACTCTGGATTGATTGAAGCTCTCTCAAACAAACTCGTACGAATGCTCTGCAACAAAGGTAAACGAGCCTTGCTATTACGCTGTAAACATGGTTCAAAGTCAACCAAGAGGGTAGCCCAGGAGTCTTCTCATGTTCACCATGTATTTGATGTGAATGTTAAGCTTGAGGATTCGCTTGCTGATCTAAACGAGTTTCAATCCAAGTACAAAGAATACATCGCTCAGTCATTAAGTGGGAGTCAAGGGCAGAAGCTGTGTCGTGTCTTTCATTTCCCTCTACTAGCCATGATGGAAGAGTTTCAACCCAAGCTAAAAGGGATAATTGAAGACACTATCGACGAAATGGGAGGCATCCAACAGAAAATGGCTATGGTTGTGGCTTTCTTGCAGAAATACGCAAATCATGCAACACCAGCCTTTCTCCTGTATGAGGCGTTCAAAGGGTACATCCGCGTCACCGGTGATAAGCCAATCACCTATAAGGACATCAGACGTCTGTTTACAGAGCACTTGCTCAATCTAATGGTGCCTACAGACCCTCCCCGGCCTAACGGGAGATTGAAAACACCAGAGAAAGCGCCACTCGAAAGTTACACTCTTCAACATCCGCTGGTCGCAGATTTGGTTCTGAAAAAGGTTTTACAGGTCCAAGAGTGTGATCTCTTCGGAATAGTGAACAAGTTCCTTCAGTTACCTATTTACAAGCACGAATGTTTCTTGCCCCTCTTTGAAGAACTGTTTCTCCACAACAAGTATGGGCGAAAAATCAAGTTTTCAATATTGTTTGAAGAGCTCAAACGTATAGATTCAGAGCACGCGGCAAGAATCTTCTGTGAGGCTGCTATGAAGACAAATGATGCCGCTGTATATGCTAACGCAGCAAGATTTCTCGCCAAGAAGGAACCACCATCGTTTTCGAAAGCAAAGGATCTCATTGAGAGTGCCTTCAAAGCCAACAACTCAAAAGTACGACTGCGTAGCTTGTATCACACCAAGGGCGTCGTTCTCTTTCATGAAATGAAGCGTGAGGTTAATTCTAGCCGAGTAAAAGATCTTAAGGAGCTCGAACGTTTAGCCAGTGAGGTACTCAGAGCCTACCACGAGGCACGAAACTTTCCACCAACTTATCCACATCCTCTAATTGGTGAAGTTGAAGTTTGGCTGGCATGCATCCAATGGATCATGAAAAATCTTTGCAATCGCGACTCCGAAAAAACCTTGAAGTTTCTTACCAACCAATCACCGCCTTTCTTCCGAACCTGTGTAAGTGACTCGTTCAATTTGCTGGACATAGTAGATGGAATCTGCCAGAGTGTCCCTAATCTTACAGATGCCGAAGAAACTCAGCGACTTAGCAACAGTGCTCGGTTGTCCCTAATTTCAAACTTCAAAAGAGGACTTTCAGTATCCGGGCGACAGCGGAATGGAGATGATTTAATTGGAGCTTGCAAAGCATTATGTAGTACTCCTAACTTCCCAAGGTCTTCTCAAGTAGAGCTCAAGAAGCTTCAAGCCCACTTTCTTCTGAGTGGCGATGATCCAATTGACACATTACACCGCGAGATCCTCGAGTACTTGTTGAAACTTCTGGAAGATCTAGTGCTGGTGGAGAACGACTATAGGCTCGCATACCATCTGATGAAGGTTTGTGTCTTGGTGACTGGGAAAAGATGTTACAGTCTTGAACAAGGTGTTAATGTTAGCGAAAAATGGTGCGATGCTTCTCCGCACGACTGCCTCCCTTATTTTTACCAGATGACCATCTACTTCTTAGAGATACTCGATGGTAACTCACTTGAATTTACTCCAAAGTACACTAAAGCATTAAGGATGTGTCAAGAGAAGTCCCAGAATCATTTTCGAAGCACTCAGTCGACGTTGTTTGTTGGAAAAGGAGGACAAGGGATGTCCCGTCTTATCACTCGCAATACACTTCTGCGAGGAGAAACTGATTACGTTACAGATGACTCTGATAAAGTAACAAAGTTTTGGCGGGTAGACAGTCGCAAAAAGTTGTTGGAATGCAAGGGAAGGATACGGGTGTCAGAGCAGTCATCCGGTCGTCGGAAGAGCCATCCTTATATTGAATTGGTGCAAGGCAATCTTCAGCTCTACGTCGGGAAAAACGCAGACATCGGTAAAGTGGAAAGAGACTTTAACACGGGGACTTTGGTGTACTTTGTCGTTAGCTTCAATCTCCATGGCCCGGTTGCCAACGGGATAACTTTCGAAACACAAGAACCATCAAACAATTGATAGAACTGAGGAAATCAATAGACTGAAGGAGGCAATTTTTGAAAACGCTGATCAAAGATAGTAGAACAGATTAGATTAGCTCCTTTAGAGCCATAAAAGTCTCTTAACTTCTTACTACTTTTACGGCCTCGTGGTTTGGCAACGTTTTTGCCATTGCAGTCTGTCTGCTTTTCATTTTTTTCTTTGATGCAAACTCAGAGACAGCTATTGAACATTGTCCGTTGAAGTTAGAGTTAAACATTAACCCAAAGGTGTCCCTTTCATCCATTTAAATTTATCAACTTGGTATTATGAGAAAATTATTACTTTAGAAATAGCTTTGCTGTTCTGTGGTTGACACGACGACGAAAGTGGTGAGACACTCCGCCGAAGCCATCACTGTGACTTTTTAAAGGTTACGTCAAATTAGGACAAAACGGAGAACTGATAACGACGTTGTGTCAATTAAGCAAATGAGGATGTCTTTGTTGTTTAGGGATAAGGTACATGTTACACGAAACAAAAGTTTATACGTCTTTCTCCAGATAGACGTTTATCGGTCCAAACTAGACAGTGTTCGTAAATATAGTGCATCCATAGTCCAATATGCATAAACATAATTTGTTTCAATTTTTTCAAAATTTATCTTTGTATTAATATTGTCAACAATCGTTGTTCCAAAGCACGTCTCTAGACCAGAAGATGATATTTTCTTTTAGATCTGGAAAGTAGCAGACGCTCTATAATTTTTACAGTTGTACTGTTTTCTTGAATTTGAAATAACTTCTTTTTCATATTCATGCCCTATCGTGATTTCTTTCTGGGTTATAACTAACCAGCATTCTAGATGGCATTCATAAGGCATTTTAAACCCAGCTCTGTACTTAGCTTACGGCGTGCACTTCAGCATTTGCTGATTTTAAAGTAGGATGAGCCAATTCTCAGGAAACCTGGGTTCCCCGAAATTAGCTATCCTTAAAGCAAAGGTTAGAGCAATGACAAAAATTGTGGGAACCAGAGTCTAGGAGAAAGTAAAGGCAATGGTCTCAGTTTATTAGCAATTCAATTATCAATGTCTGGTAAATCAAAATTTTCTTATCATATTTTCTCCCAATCCGCCCTCAGACGTCAGGCAAACGAGGAGGCAGCGTTGGAAAGCATCTCTTCCGCTTGCTACAATTGGAATACTCTAAGCAGTAACGATAAGATTAAGCGCGCACTTGATCAAAATTAGAGATTCTGTTCTACTTCAGGATGGTTACCATGAACGGAAACGCAATCATAAGTTTCGAACTTACTTTCAAAATGAATTAAAGTATTAATTGAATTTAGAGCAACAGAGCTGACTATTCAACTCAGCCAAAAACCTCCAATGCTTTCGTAAAGAAAGGCCCCGCTAAAATTGATTTAATTGTCGGGGAAAAAAAGAAAAAAGAGAATTGAGGGTTGAACATCAGACTGAGGCTGGTTTCTAGGCTTGCTGAGAATGCATATCTGCGGACGCGCTCGGAATGCGCGCTGTTTTGCGCGCCGTCAAACAGGAGAGCCCGCGCATACGTGTCAGTGGATTTGCTTCAAACAACAAAATGGCCAAGTAGTGCTGCTCGTGGAAGATTGGACCTTCTATTTTAAACGCCGACCTTTCGTGCTTGGCTGATAAATGTAACAGGCTGTAAGAATGTGGAGCCGACTACCCAAACCTGGATGTTATGGATGGGTAAGAATCTTTACCATCGAAATAAAACGAGGACTAAGAGTACAATGTCGAGGTCGCGATGAACTAAGATTGTTCACGCGTGGCTCGCTTTGGGAGCATATCTTATCACACATCTCATAAGCTGATGGCAAATTAAAGTAGGAAGATTCTTTATGCATAGGTTCTTATGTATTCGGAAAAAATCCTGATTCGATCAGCAGATGCTAGATATTGAATCATCAAAATTGTGGGAACGGAGATATTTTCGATCGTATCATGAGCGTCTGTACGTCCGATGGCCCTTTTTATTGCGAACGTTCTCCTGTAAATTAGGTCATTGAACACCATCACAATACATTTCACCTTCAAGTTTCTTGAACTAGTTAAAATTACCGCTCTTAATCAATATTTCTATACCCTATCCAACTAGCTAAATTGATCATAAGTTACAGACCGATCGAAATAGCTACTAACAGAACTCGTGTTGCATGCATAGAAGGCAAGCCATGCAGTGAGGAGCTCATTGTCTAGAGTTCCCCTGTTTTACTAGTCATGGGCAAAAGATGATTACTATTGTACGGAAGCCGAAAAGGGACCGCTATCCAAAATTATTTTGCAGATCCGAAAAAATATTAAGAATCGATAACTTTTAGACAAATCACTTTAGGAAAGGTTGTCAAATCAAGAAAACAATGTCAAATCCTGGTTTAATTCATAGATCCACAAATAACTTTCATGAAAATCGAAAATAGTTTACAGTCTAAGAATCTTTCCAAAATCCAGAAAATTTTTGCAAATCAAGAAAAATATTTTGTCATGTGACACTGGTGGCAGTAGTCGGCACTTTCTCACAATACAGCACATTGTGCTGCACTAGGCAGCACCAGGTCGACTTGGAGTCAATATACAAACAGACTAAACTGTACCAAGTGTCTTGTGATGTTCTGCCACAAATGTGGAAAAGAATTTGTGAGTAATGAGCTGTTCTGCTGTCAATGTGGAACATTAAAGAGACCCAAACAGAAAAAGGGGTTGTACAGTTCATCAGAGGAGAGATCTGCCACTGAACATTACTTTGAAAGAGGATTCTATTATGATGCTATTGTTCAGCTCTTAGAAAAGTGCCATGATATCTCTATGAACTTGAGGACTTTTAAGAGAAGATTGCATGAGTATGGGTTGAGAAAAAGAAATGAAGTCCATTCAAAGCATGAAGTTCAGGAGATATAAATTAAATGTGAAACTGAAGCCCCTTCATCACTTCTTGGATATCATTTTAATAAACTTCAAGTCATATAATTGAAATTTGTGCCTATTTACAGCCGAACCTAATGTGAATATACATTAATTGGTTTCAAATGTCAATCACTGTGATCATAGGTGACCTCTGTACAAAAAAAACATTGCATGACAAAAGTTTAAAAACATGACAGTTCATAAGGGTCTGTGTTGAATGTGTATGAAGAATCTGACAATCGTGCGATATGGAACAAGCTAAGAACAAGCTACAATATGGCTGTTCCTCAAGACATGGTCATGCAGATTTTGTGAGAGCTTGATCCAGAGGCATCTGTCTCTGGATCAGTTTTCTGTTCAGATTTCTGTACACTTGGTACAGTTTAGTCGGCTCACGTAGTGACTCCAACTCAACCTAGTGCAACCTACTGTGATACAATGTGCTGTATTGTGACAAAGTGTAGACCAGTGGCGTTAGTGTCACATGACAAAATATTTTTCTTGATTTGGAAAAAATTTCTGAATTTTGGAAAGATTTTTGGATCGTAAACTGTTTTCAATTTTTATGAAAGTTATATGTGTTTATGAATTAAAGTTTGGAAAGGAAAGGTGAATATTTTTTCACATTTGCAAAATATTTTTCAGCTTTTGTACTATTGGGTAAAGAATGAGTGGAAATTATTGGAAAATTCATACTGTGGCAGTATCAGTGGCATCCCTTTTGTTTCACTCTATGGACATGTAATTAGGCATATCCTTATTCTTCAATATGTTTATATGCTAAAAACACGCTGCTTTCTTGTACAGAGTGCTGGAAATATTTTTAAAATCCTATATTTCTGTTTGATTCTGTTAGATAGCCTTTTCAACACTAGAGAACAGTTATTATTACCAATGAAAGAAGGTACCTCACTTTTCCCCATAGTTTGTAAGGTCCTGCAATTTATTTTGGAATTATCAGTTGCAAGATGAATAGAACAGGGTCTATGCTACAAATGGCATTTTTTTAAGTCAACATTTTACTAGCTTGCATTTGGTACAGAAACTTTGGTGGGTGTAACCATTCACGATTACAGCAAATAATTAATTTACATTGTCTTTTGTAGTCATTTTGTACCAAACTTGACATTTGGTACTCTGTTGGTCAAGTGCTTGAGAAAGAAAGTTCCTAATGCCTTTTTTGGGTGAGAAAATAATTTTTTTGTATCAATGTTACTGTTAGTGGTAATAAACAAAGTAAACTTGAAGTTTATAAAAATGCAAACTCATAACAAAGTGTTACAAAAAGGGTGTAAAAAGAGAGCAAAAGCATTCATGATTATCATAAATTAACCAATGATAATTTTGTAATCCAGTCTTGGAGATAGACAAAATTTGTGTTAGCATTATTTAGATTGATAGCTATCATTATTACATACTAAACATTTAAGGATGGAATTACGGAAGTATATATTATGAGCTGGTAGTAATGGTCCAGCAGAGTCTTTGAGCATGAGTCAAATCAGGTGAGATTCTCCCTGTCAAATATTTGACTTCAGATATGCATATGATGGTAGGAAATCCAAGGTACAGACTCTGATTGATCTGATTAGGCACAAAGATTTCAATATGGATCTTGTAGTTATACATGAGTTCTTGAAATTTTGAGTCTTTCTTTATGAATTATTGTTTTTAAAAGATTGTTCAGTTTCATCCTAAAATTTGCATTTTATATCATATTGACAAATGGTATTATAATGTATACTCTCTCCCAGACATTTACAGAACATTAAATTTTCTAGAATTCAAGCAGGAGATCCTCAGATATGAAACAGTAGGTCTAAAGATGTTTCCCTCCTAGTTTTCCCTCTCAGCTTTTTAGTTGTATATAGTTTATAAATAATATTGAAATTGTAAGACAGTATATTTTTATTTCATTTCAGCCAAAGATATTAGCTCAGCTAAAGCTTAAATAAATAATTTGCATTTTGTATTGTATACCTTTAACCCCCCCCCCCCCATCACCCCTCACTTCCCAAACAATGGTATAATAATTTGACTAAAGCCTTAAGAGATTATGACGGTTCTTTTGATTGATTTTAAAGAAGTCACGTATGAGGTTAGTCATTAAATTATTAATAAATTAATGAATTGTTTTTAACTGTATAGTGGGTGGGCGACATGGCAGATGCTGGGGCTGACCAATACACTTTTCACTTGGAAGCAACAGGTAGGAATGATGAAAAAAAACTTTGTCAATCATTGCTGTAGTAAAAATTAATTGTTCTAAACAAAATTATCATCACAATAATTACTACATGTATTGTAATTCATAATGATGATAAAATTCTGATCCTGAAGCCCTACTTTTGTTTTGATTTAATAATGTTTCTATACGGCAATTGTTTCTTGACAGAAAATTATATTTGTATGTTTTTAGATAAGCTAGTGGACTTAATAAATCAAATTAAGGAGGCTGGAATGAAGGTATTAGTAAAAATAGCCATAATCATGCTAGGTCAGTAACCATTTAGTACCTAAGTTTTAGTTCAAAAGGAGGAAAACATTTCAAGTTTTCATGACCCATTGTTATAATGTGGCCCCCAGAGTTAGATCCACCACAGTTGGTGGGGCTACAGTATATGTTCCTTTTGTATCTGGTGGTGTTGCATCAATTTTGAATGACTTAGTTTGTTTGGAGATGTACATGTTTGTAGAATGTCTCATTAGATTGGTAAGTATTTTTCCTGCAATAAACTGGTACAAGCCCTTGTGTAGATCTTCTCCATTGTATGTGTGTCATTGGAAGTGTAGTCAAAATAATCATTTTGTTACACATTGCACACTCTGCACAATGCAGTGCAGCGAATTTGTATACCATACTTGTTCGACCACATTTACTGTCACTTGAGTACAGACATAGAAGACATTCTGCTTGCACTTGCGAAGTTGCAAGGAACTTAGAAATAGAGTTTTATACTGTCTGCTTTAAGGTAAACTTTTTAATATTTTTTGTTAAAGTTTGTATTGGCATCAAGCCCAACACATCAGTTGAAGCTGTCATGCCATTTGTGAAACTAGTAGATATGGTTCTTGTTGACAGTGGAGCCTGGATTTGGAGGACAAAAGTTCATGATAGACATATTTCCAAAGGTAAATTGCTTAGATTAAAATTTAGGTTACAATTTACATCCTCAAAGGGAGTGATGCATGTTATTGGGTACTTTATGAATAATATCTGAGATACAGTACTTTATTTCAGACCAAGTACCCTATATTTCAAGTTGGTTCACCTTAGGGGACTACTAAACTGACAATTTCTTCAGTTTGAGTTATGTTATTTTGCAGGTCAAACACCTTAGAACTAAGGACAGGGTTTTGGACATTTAGATGGTGGAGTAAGAATTCCTACAATTGAAGCAGCTGCTCAGGTACCCACAATGTAGTGATACTTTTACAGTTATAGCCAACTTCTTGATCAAGTTGCATCATTCTACAGTGATTTAAAATTCTTTTGACAAAGTTATCATCTTGGGCTGAAATCTAACACTGTCCATGAAAACTTTCACAACTTACTGTACAGAATACTAGTGGAATCAGGACAAGTTGTCTCATTGTTTCGCTGAAATGACAGGCCCTTTATCCCTGTGATGTTGAGATATGCAAATGTTGATTTGATGCTTTGGCTGCGGCATTTTGAAAGACAAAACTTTTGTTTTCTGAAACAATGCGGAACAAAGGAAGCTGACTGTGTTGAATAACAAAAGTAAAAACAAGCAAACATGCCTTTGAATGTGTGTTGGCCATGTACCTCTGAGCTGTACTGTACAAAAGCTTTCATTTTCACCATCTTGAAGTCACTGGACAGTCATCCCATAAGTTATTGCCAGAGAATTAAGATGATTAGTGATACAATGGATACTAGCCAAGGCTTTGCTCATAAACTGGTCATGGACTAGTCAGCACAGAAATTGGAGGCATGGTCACTCATATCCGACAAAGTATAAAGGGGGGAGAGACTATCATTGAAAATTGACTGGCAATGGAGGGGGGGGGAATCAGGCAATGAATCCAGTCTCAAATTGATCAGATTGTGATGGTTCAAACATATTACCCTAAGGCCTCTGCACACAAATACTGATGAATTTGAAGTCCAGGTTGTGTAACCTAGGTTGCCAGTCTCCACAATGTCTGGTTTGCTTCAAGACCCTGTTTTGTGTTTCTTTCGATTAGTAAGAATGGTTCCTGAGGGGAAAACAGATAAACTGATTTCAGTTGGTTAATTTTAACTTTAATTAAACAATGAAAATACAAATCAGTGTTAGAACATTCAACTCAGTTGTCTTCATTAGACACTATTTTTTAAGTGCTAGTACAAAATCTATTTAAGTGCACTGGCCAACAAGCACATCTTTCAAATTCACCATCAGGTGACCTTAAAAATCATACAGTAGGTGGCAGAAAAAAAACTTGGGGATTCCTTGAAAAAAAGAATCTTGAATAAGATTTTACTGAGGGGTTAAGAATTTCTAAGCTAAAGGTGTGAGTTGCGACAGTGAAAGGTAATGCAAAATGCATCATCAATTTCTGTTTCACAGTATTCCCAACTTTCCTCACAAGTGAAACAACAGTTCTCAGCTTTTTAGGGTCCCTTTCTGCATCTATAAGTTCCTGATCATTAGAATCTCGTTTTCATTTTAAAAAGTTCATCCTACTAATCACAGACATAAAGACATATGTTAGTTTTGCTTCATGTAAATCTATGGCCACATTCTTGAGGATAATTTTTCTCTCGAATATTTCCAAAGTAGAGAGACTTGGGCTATCAAGGACTCTAAGTTTCCTTTTCATTAAAAAATTAGCTGGGAGGCAAAAAGGGGAATTAGAGAAGGTATCCGTGATTAGAACTGTAGGCTTACGAGAGTGTCCACTAGCGGAGAATTAACTGTACAAGCGATCAGTTCATCTAAGGCTCTTTATTTCTCATGCCTAAATTTGGCTTAAAAATAATTTTTGTCTGCAAAAAAGCCAGTATGAATAAACTTGCTAGCTGAAATTGGGCTTGACTTTCCCTTGTGACAACCCCTCCGGCTGCATCCGTCTAACTAACGAGGAGAACGAAAGAGAATTTTGATTCATCGATCCCGTGATTGGTGTGTCACAAATAGTAACTACACACACATCTACGAATGAATCAAAAAGCCTCCAGATTTTGGGGGTATTGTGAGAAAATATTAGAAAACTAACCTGTTATCTGTTTGTAATTACTCACTTCGACATTTAAAAATCCCACTCGATGGCGGAAAGCAGTGTCGGTGATCACATGGCCTATAATCATGAGATCGAGGTTTAATATCCCCCTCGACAAGGGGCTCTGGGGATGAGAATTCTTTGTTGTAAGACCTTGCCTTGCCACCTTTTAGGGGCATTGGACCGAGAAACAACATATTTCTTTGTGAAATTTTCTCTCAAAGATTAACTCTTCTCTCGAGTTCATGGGCACGAACATCGCTTACGACAAGTTCTGCGTTTGAGCTAAGGTTTTGGGATCGTCTAAAGGAATTTGTGTGTTCGTAGTCAGTGCAGAGGAGCAAAATTTAGCTTTTGACAGCCAACTGTGCGTCTCGTCGAAAACAAAAGCGCTACACGGAAGCACCATTAATTTGGCCAACTCATCCACGAATTTTATGGGTTAACAGCTCTTTGATCCGTAAGTTTATTAACTTGTGTCCACTTTTATTTGTCACGTTGTTCGCATTGTGTCTCTCCTGCCTTATGAGCTAAATAGGCAAAGAATGTTATCGCCTTGTTCAAAATTTTGTTTGTGTTCGTCTAAAATACGGTAGTCGTGATGCAAAGTTTTCTCGACCGCACAAGCACGGAAAAATGTCCACTTAAAAACAAGTATATTTTTGGAATCGCTTGACGTTTCTCAACAAAAATCTGATACTCTTTTGAGGTTTCAGGGAACCTTTTAGTGGCGTTTTGGTGACAATTTCTGACCGACGGGCGTTTCGTCAGTTCGAAACCGTGCAATTTCTGAGTGTCGACAACCGAGCTATATTGTATTGTGCTCAAGCTCGGAGAGTTTGTCCACCGAAAAACCAAATTTGAATTTTGGAATCGCTTGACATTTCTTAACAAATATCTGATATTCCTGAGAAGTTTTAAACAACATTTCGGTGAAAAATCTGTAAAAATATCTGACTACCTACATTTAGTCTATTTGGGACTATGCCCGGCTGCCGGGCATTTAGTCACAGCGTATTTTTTTGGCTCTTCTACTTGTGTTGCGTTACATGTTACTTCTAGCCAGTCAGTTTTCAAATTTTGCCTATATCACTCCATGAGCTTGCTCTGTGTCTTTGTTGTTTGGCTTAAATACATGGCACTCCTTTTGAATTCCAACAGTTCGGGAAGTTTGAACGTGTTAGCTAGAACGAAAAATGAATGAATAGATGAGCGAGAAAGTTATGAGCGCCTGTGAGTTACGCTACTCGTCTAGACTTGTATAATCTCAAGACTATCTGTGCAGAAAATAAAGCAAAATGCGACTATATGTGTTGGTATTCAAAAGAAAAGGAAAATTTCTTGTTGACGTACAGGCTTAAACTGTTATTAAGTCATGGCGCAATGAGATTAATAATGGTAATTGAACTGAGTGGAGTGCAATTTGAGTTGAAATCATACGCGCGATTTCAAAATCGATCGAGCGCGCAACGCGAATTCGATTTGAGATCATAAGTATGATTTCGGACCAAAATTGCACGACACGAGGTTCTGTAACCACTTTATTATATCCATTTGAAATCGCCCAAATACAGGACTTGGTCAATTCAAATATTTTATTGATGCAGTACTGAGTCGATTTGAAATTAAATTCATCCATTTTTTTGGGGGGGAAAGTGAGAGGTTTGGAAACAAAAGTAGCAAAATTTTCCATACGATACTCTTTGTCTATCATTTTCCTGCAATTTATTGGTTACTTTAAACAAGTGCAGGCGTCTTATTAGGGCGAGTTGGCGTTAACAAGCTTGCGATCGTTTATTCGACTGGGCCATGTTTGATTTAGTGTTAGAGTAGGGGGAGGGGCGGGAAAATGCTTAATATTCATTGCCCCAGCCTCTCCCCTCTCCTTATTTTTTACTGTCACTCTCCCCCTTGAAACAGATTTCTTTCTCTCCCCAGCCTTCCGCTGCTGTAAAAATCAAATCTATAATTTCTGCCGTAATAATACTGTGCACTCGCCCGCCAAAAGGCTGTAGGGCTCTGGGAACGAATTCTCAACTTGTGCAACTTGCGTCTCATTCAGTGCATAACAGAGTTCTACTTCGATGTGTTTATTTTTTTTGTAAAAGTTGTTAATCGTTTTGAGGGCGTCGCGTTTTCTAAATAAAAATATCTTCTCTTAGGAATCAGAATATGCTTCAAAATATTGGTTAAACTATAAACTTCCTAATTTTTCTCTTAATTTTTATTTTTGTTGAGCAATGAGCTGAACTGAGGCCCGACCAACAGGGCAACGAAAAATTAGTATCTCACTGACGTGACAGGATAAGGAGTAAATGATTAGAGTAGCGTCAGCCATAACCCGCCTAAGGATTTTGATAATATGAACACTATATCCAGTGCAAGACGACTTTGAGGCCTTTCTCTCATTACTAGCAGTTGAATGACAAACATGCGGGAATCGAACCGAATTCAGCAGAAATATACTCGTTTATGTAACAGTCAAATCGTTTATTGAACGTCAACAATTTCGACATTTTTAAACCCTCTCGCGAGGCGAGACTCACGTCTGTAGAGCCAAAACTCTCGTGCCCGAAGCAGAGGATCTCGTCTCGAGAGAAGGTGGTAATATAATTTTCAATGGTACTGTAGGATAGGCCTCCGCTTAGCCGCCCTGTAGCTTATTTCTGCTGCTCCTGAGGGAAGGCTGTTAGTTTTACTTTAACTAGAGCCGGATTAAACAAGTTTCCCATAGGGAGCCTTTGATATTGACCTTAAGGCTACATTGTTTCTGTACATATGACATGTAGGAAAATGAAAATCTCCTCTGGCCGGATAGTCGAGAGTCTCCCGCTTAGCCGTCCTATAGCTTACTTCAGGAGAAACATACTCGTTGATGTAGCGGTCAAAATCGTTTATTGAACGTCAACAATTTCAACATTTTTAAACCCTCTCGCTAGACGAGACTCCTGACTGTAGAGACAAAACTCTCGTGTCGGAAGAGGAGGATCTCGTCTCAAGGGAAGGTGGTAATGTAATTTTCAATGGTACTGCAGGATAGGCCTCCGCCTAGCCGCTATGTAGCTTATTTCCGCCGCTCCAGAGGGAGAGCTGTTAGTATTTAACTCGAGCCGGACCAAACAAGTTTCCCATAGGATATTGACCTTAAGGCTACATTATTTCTTTACATATGACATGTAGGAAAATGAAAATCTCCTCTTCCCGGATAGTTTAGAATCAAAATGTGCTTCAATTAAACAGATATCTGTACAGTGCATGACTGCAAAAAGTCAGAAAACAAAAACGTTTGACAGCCGTGAATGGTGAGATTTATAACAGTTCAAATGAATTTTCTTATTAGATGGATCCGAGCATGGAAGCAATCGCAGCTACTGCTGAAGAAGAAAATGGTAAATCGTTGGAATCCACACCTGACCCTAAAAAAAAGAAGAGGAAGAGACGCAAGAAGAAGCAGGTGGAAATGGTCGGTATTGCCTCTGGAAACGAAGCTGTAATTGGTGGACCGTCTACAGAGTTGGCTAAAACTTCAGATCAAGAAGAAGATGGAAATGAAAGTTTTAATTTAGAAGACAAGGTTACTCCAGTGAAAGAAAATGAAGAACATGATATCCAGGTCAGTGACAAAAAATCAGAGAACAGCCGTGAATGGTGAGATTTATAACAGTTCAAATGAATTTTCTTATTAGATGGATCCGAGCATGGAAGCAATCGCAGCTACTGCTGAAGAAGAAAACGGTAAATCGTTGGAATCCACTCCTGACCCTAAAAAAAAGAAGAGGAAGAGACGTAAGAAGAAGCAGGTGGAAATGGTCGGTATTGCCTCTAGCAACGAAGCTGAAATTGGTGGACCGTCTACAGAGTTGGCTAAAACTTCAGATCAAGAAGAAGATGGAAATAAAAGTTTTAATTTAGAAGACAAGGTTACTCCAGTGAAAGAAAATGAAGAACATGATGTCCAGGTAAGTGAAACAGCAAGCAAAAAGAAAAAGAAAAAGAAAAAGAAAAAGAAAAAGGACATTATGGTCTCTGAGGTGAATTTGAATCATGAGGATGTTAACGATGACAACAAAAACATGTTTAGTACCCCAGAAGAAGTCAATTCCAAGTCTAGCTTTGTGGAAGAAGGCATGAAAGATCCAGTTGCGGTGGAAAGTGAAGGGCAAGAACCTGTCGAAGATGGTCAACCTCCAACTGAAGGGGGTGATGTTTTGATTGGGGACATCAGGCGTGACAGTGGTGAGGGATACAATGACTTAAATAAAGAGACAATACCAACTGGAAAAGACGAGAAACCCCCCCATGTTCCAGATGAAGAAGGTGGAAGTTCAACTCCAGAAGCCGTGACAGATAGAGAGACAGATGGATCAGCAACAATTACAACAACTGCTGATGGGGCAGCTTATGGACCTGTTGTAGATAGTTCTTCCATAAACTTGTCTATAGGAGATGATGTGGAGTCAGATACTGGTGACGACTTATGCAATGTGGCAGTAGACAACGAGGGGTGAGTACAAATGCTTTAAACTGAATCACAAACTTACGATAGGGCAGAAGCTTCAAGTGAGAAAGTTGCCTTATCATATTTTTCAAAGTTCCTGTGAACAGTCCAGATTTTCGGCTGCAGAATCCGAAGAAATTAATTGTTAATTTTAGATGAGAATGCAACCTCATTCCCTATCTGCAGTATATGAGTATCTTTAAATGATTTCAATTTTGAATTAAACTACCACAGTCACGAATAGGGCACCCTACTCGTCCTATCATCCTTACTGTGCGATTGATAGAAATTTTAATTGTATCTTGTTTCTGTCTTCAGGAGAAACGTATTATGTATTTACAAGCTCATTTATGGGGTTGGTCTTGAAGCACTGAGGAATTTGTTTATGGAAATCAATCCAACTTGGTCCAATCAGCCCTCTGATGCAGCAGCATTTGATAGGGGGAAGATGAAACTTACTAAAAATGAAGAAGTCAGTTTCAAAAAGGGAAATATCCACGAATGGGATTTCTCTCTGATCACAAGCATTCTTTTATTTTCGAACACTTGTTCCCCGGAGATGAAACGCAGACCAGGCTATGACACTGCTCTCAAAGAATTAAAGAAGTGTCGTAATTTGGTGCTAGGTCATCCCTCTACAGACAAGATGTCTGATGCAGACTTTAACCACTACTGGCCTCTTCTTTCAAACCACTTTAGTACAGTTGGTGCTGATCCAAATGCGATCGCCGAAATAAAGCTCCAGTCAGGTATTGCGTCTTTTTTTCTGCCTCACAGGTATCAAATTTTTATTAGTTGAGTTGGATTGAAGGGTTTATGTTTATTTATGTTTATTTATGTTCCTTCGTGTTTCAATGCACCACCATCCGTGCTTCCCATTTTAAAATTATTTTAAAATTGTTCGTTCCTTTCTTTGTCGATCGTGACAAATGTCTTGGAACTCAGATTTAGAGGTAAGTATGGTAGATAGCGCTCGAATTTTAGATACCTTTCGCTCGACGAAATGAGCTTTCGAATTTATCTTTTGTCGTATTCTCTACATCGATATGAATTGGCTGGAAAATTAAACCAAACTTTCTGAATTCATGCGAAGCTCTTCGATATTTAGATAGTTCTTAGGCCTGCTAAATACAATTTTTAAGTGTTGGCATGGCTTAAACTATAGTCTAACTGACGACTTAGTGTTAATGGGGATAATTTTCAAGAATTCAAACCCAAAGTTGTACAACATTTTGGTCGAGGTCCTGCAAGACGTTATTCGTGTGTTTTTGGTTTAATTCTTGTAGCAAATGTGGAGCTCATTTAAAAAAGAGACTTCTAGAAGATATTCTACATTGTGTTAAAAAAAAAAAACAACAAATTTGCGGTTTATTCACCTTCTTTCCTAGATGAAGTCCTAAATGCTGGAGGACACTACAAGGAGTTGTTTTTGACTGAACGAGCGAAATTCAGTCCTTTGGAAAAGAAGCTGGATGATTTAACGAACAAGTTCGAAACCTTCATTGCTGATCAGTCTTATGATTCTACCAACAAAATTCCTATTAGTCCAAAAGATCTTAGTGGCCCTAACTGGGATGAATTTTTGAAGTTCTGCGACGCAGTTGGTGACTTCGACACTCGCAAGAACCAGTACATTCTTGTTGCCGATGCTCTCTCGCAAGATGACCTCGGCTACTTTTCCATTCTGAGAAGTATACCCTGGAAGATGGTGGTAGACTTCGATACCATGTCCGAAGAAAAAGGGTTGTATCACTCTTTTACTTCACAGGAAGGACAAGGTAGTCTAGTGAGCATGATTACACCAGCAGAGGTCAAGAGAAGTTCCATTGTAAGCCTTGCACGTCAAATTGATCCCAATAAAACGCAGTGGTTGTTTGTCAAAGGAAGATCAAGTGACACAGATGGCAAGGTACAGAGTTTTTCCGAGTGGGAGTCATCTTCGGTCAAAGAAATCTCAAGATTTTTCGGATGTTGTTGTGATCCAGACAAATTTGATAGACAGAAACCCGTGGTGTGCCTTATTCTTCCACTTTGCCAAGAAAGTGTACCATATTTGGAAGTAACACTGAGTCGACTCTTCGAGAACTTTAATGATCAATTTAGTTTGCAAACGGTATCCCTTAAGCAAGAAAAAGGCTTCTCAGTTTTTAGCAAGGTCAAAGTGCGAAGAGTACAGCTATGCCCTAGGCTTGTCCATCTTGGTTTGAGAGAGATGCTTTGTTCATCATCAAAGCAACAGTTTCGAATGCCCACCTCCCAAGCCAAGGTTTACGTAGACCTCACAGAGAAAGAGCTCCTTTACTTGAATGAAAATCTTGATATTCTGTACGAAGGCTGCGAGGGCTTACCAGACGGCTCAAATGACCCGTTAGATGAGGATCTGCAAATAAGAAACTTTCTAGAGGAGCACAGGAAACTCTTTATGTCCGGCAATGAAATTTCTTTTGCAAGTCTCTATGACAACCATGATGCGAAGAGAGAAATTGAAAAGGGCATTCAGATCCATGTCCAGCGTGTGTTAGACAATGGACTTACACGTTCAATGATGGTGGTAATTAAGCACTTGCCAGGTACTGGAGGCACCACCATTGCTCGCCGCGTGATGTGGGATCTTCACAAAGCGTACCCATGTGCTTTCGTAGACTTACGTTCTCAAATGAACTTTGAAGAAGACAGCAGTTACGCCAGGAAACTAGCTGATCGGATTGCCGCATTGGAGGAAATCTGCCAAACTTCCCCCGTTATTCTAGTCGATGGAAAGCAATCGGGGTCAATCGAAAGCATCGCTAACAAAACTCTACGGATACTGGGTAACTTAGGAAAGCGTGCCCTTCTCTTGTGTTGCCAACACGGTTCCAAGACCTCAACGAAGGAACCTCAAGAGCTATCCTGTGTCCATAGTGTGTTTTACGTCGATGCCAAGCTCGAAGACTCAGTGGCTGACCTGAATGAATTTGATTCAAAATACAAGGAATTTATTGAGAGGTCCCTGGCCGAGAAGCCAGGATCAGGACCGTGTCGGGTGTTTCATTTTCCTCTCCTGGCAATGATGCAAGAATTTCGACCCAAACTGAAGAAGATAGTTGAAGATACATGGGACGAGATGGAAAATCTTCAACAGCAAATTGCCATCGTGGTAGCATTCCTCCAGAAGTACGCCAACCAGCCAACACCAGCGTTACTCCTCTATGATGCTTTCAAGAGCTACATTCGCCTGGAATGTGGCAAAACTGTCACATACAGCGACATTAAGCACTTGTTTTCAGAGCATTTATTGAACCTGATGGTACCGTCGAACCCTTGGCTACGTCGAAGAAAGTTGTTCCTCTCCATGGAACCATCCCCTCAAAGTTATACATTTCAACATCGCTTAGTGGCGGAGATGTTGGTCAAAAAGTGTCTGCAGGAGCAAGGCTGTGATCTGTTTCAAGTAGTGAGCCAATTTCTTCAATTTCCGATCTATAATCGTGACGATAATGAGTTCCTGAAACTTTTTGAAGGGCTTTTCGTCTACAACAAGGACTGTCAGAAGAAGCTGAAGTTTTCACTTCTTTTTGAGGAGCTTAAAAGCATCAACCCGGAACGTGCCGGAGAAGTGTTTTGTGAAGCAGCAGAGAAGACTGGAGACTCAGCCATATTCGCCCACGCAGCACGATTCTTTGCCAAGCTGGAACCCCCCTCATTTCAAAAGGCAATGAAGCTAATAGATCAAGCCTTTCAAGTCAATACTTCTGGCTCCAGACAGATATTCAGAAGTATTTGTTACTCCAAAGGGGTAGTACTTTACATACAGCTACAACACATGGTCTCCACTGGCAAAGTTAAAGATTTTAATGCTCTCGAGGAACAGGCAAGCAAGGTTTTAGAGGCTTATAAAGAAGCTCGCGGTTTTCCTCTTAACTCTCCAAAAACCTTAATTGGTGAGGTAGAGGTATGGCTTGCGTGCCTTGGATGGATCATGAGAATCTATTGTAAGAGGGATTCCGAGCAAACTCTCAAGTTTCTGGCCAACCAGTGTCCCCCGTTCTTTCGCACTTGCGTGAGTGATTCGTTTTATCTTCTTGACGTTGCTGACAGAATCATTCAAAGTGAGCCAAACCTAAATGAACCTGAGGAAACTCAAAGAAGGTGTAACAACGCCAGGCTTGCTCTAATGAAGTCGTTTGGTACTAGTTCGTCTTCAACCGGACGTGGACGAGATGCAGAAGATGTGGTTCAAGCTTGCAAGGCACTTTGTAGTGCCAAAAACTTTCCAAAGACTTCTACATTAGAGTTGAAAAAGCTCCAGGCCCATTTTATTTTGAATTCCAGTGATCAGATCGAATCTTTAAAACAAGAACATCTTGAATTTTTGCTGAAATTGTTAGAGGAAATCGTGCTTCAGGAACATCAATACCGCTTGGCCTACCACCTGGTGAAGGTTTGTGTACTGGTATCAGGACCTCGGCGTTACAGCCTCGAACAAGGCATCAATGTGTGCGACAAGTGGCTGGAGGTTGCGAGTCATGACTGTCTTCCTTACTTCTATCAAATGGTCATCTTATTCCTAAAGATCCTTGACGGCCACGTAATTGAATTCATGCCAAAGTACTTGAAAGCCTTGAAAATGTGCCGAGAGAAGTCACAGAACCATTGTCGCAGTAGCCAGTCAACGTTGTTTGTGAGTAAAGAAGGGGAAGGAATGTCGCGCCTTGTAACTCGCAGTACCCTTTTCCGTGGTGAAACGGACTATTCAACCGATGTTTCCGAGACGGTCAGAAGGTTCTGGCTCGTCGACAGTAGAAAGAAATTGCTTGAGTGCAAAGGGAGGATCCGTCTAGAGCCATCTTCTGATAGAGGTAAGACGTATCCCTACATCGAATTGCTACAAGGAAACGTAGCCCTCTACGTGGGAAAGAATGCAGGTATTGGAAAAGTGGACAGGAACTTCAGTAAAGGACAGCTGGTCTATTTTGTTGTTAGTTTCAACCTTCAGGGTCCAGTCGCAAACGGAATAACTTTCTCCCCACACAAGCCTTCTTTTCGTTAGGAGTACATACTGACAAAGAAAAACATTAAAATTGCCACCTGCTAATGTTCGTTAAGGTTTACATTTTATTCAATGTCGTAAAAATGAGAATTTCGTTTATGAAAATTGCCAAATTAATATATTAATCGTGTAAGACGTTATCTGTACTGTAAACACGACAAGATATTAACATGTTGTCAGGAAGTTCAAATACCCATTGTAAACATTTTTAAGAATGCCCAGCTTTTCTTGACCTAGGTTCTTTCAGTAGTGTTGGGTGTCAAGTTGAACACTGCCGTTTTGAAGCTAAATGCGGCTCTTGAGACAGAGGAAGACAACTTTCTTATTATTAAGATATACAGAAACAATACTTACAAGCAGAAATGCATTGACTCTAGTCTTTTAGCGTGTTTAAGAGGTAGCGATGAAACTGCTTTTCAAAGGAATTATTTGGTTAACCTGTTATGTCAATAGAAACTATTTCGCAGATTTTTGATGTAAAGCAGTGCAAAACGGAATGCTGAAATGTAGGCAGTGAAATTGTTGTGTTGTGTAGAACATAGCTTTCTGATACCATTTTTTTTTAACTTGGTTGTTTGATGTTAACAACTTGTGAATAAACAGGTAGCGTAATATCATGATATATAATATTCTCCTGATACTGATTGTTTGACCAGTTCAAAGGCAGCACTTGGGGACGATAGCCTGTCAATAGCTCCCCCTCTTTAACTCCTATAGGTTCCAGACAAAATCATCATGGTTGACACATAAGGAAATCGGTTACTTCTCGCCGCTCACGCTTGTTAGTTGGTCGTCGATTGATATCCAGTCTAATTTTCCTCGTTCGGAAAGGAAGGCCAACGGTAGCGAAAACATAACTATCGTAAACGTTAAAGAAAAAAGGTGCAATGAAACGAATGATGATTTCCTTTGAATGTCCCCTTGATTGTACTTCAACGTACGTTCAGTCCTAGGTACGACTTGTTGAACCTTGGCATCTTAATTTTTCTTTTGGCTTGTGTTTCGAATTTCAACGCGTAACATAGTTTGCGCACCGGATGTGGAAGTCCTAATGGCCAAAACGGTTAGAGACTGAAGCACGCGAAAACAAATTGATAACATGTAGCCTGTAGCTTTCAAATTAGAGATTACGGAGGACGTTTTTACAGACGGTGATATGTTTACATTTATTACAATCAGCATTGACCGGAGCAAGTTTGATGGCCCAAAATGGCTTAGGTAGGTATTACACTCAGTTGAAGATGCTGGTGAATTGCTGGGCCTCACCCGAACAACGCGCAAGACCCGCATCGAGATCAGAATCTTTCTAACCCTCACCTCCCTCAATACCCGGGCATTTTGATGGACTAGGTGCCCGCGCTCATTTCAGCGGCTTCGCGCAAGAAATCAAAATGGCTGCCAAATCGTGCCGCGCGTGTAAGACTTGACGTTCTATTTTAAATGCTGACCTTTCGTGTTTGGCAGATGAATGTAACAGGTTGTTAGAATGTGGAGCCGACAACCTACACCCGGACGTAATGCATGGGTATGTATTCTGAGAATAAACCTGGAAATAAAACGGATATTTGAAGAAGGGAAGAGTTCTAGATCGACACCAAAACATGAGACGTGATTCCTGTTTTCTCACGTGAAGTTCTCTGCACCTTCAAGTCCAAATCACGTACACTGATTCCGCTATAAAAAATTCATCAACATTTTCGTATAATCCAAACGGAAGTAATGTCATTGTTTGTAGCCAAATTAGATCAACAGAGTAGTTAACATATAGCAAAGAGGTTATTTTGTAGACTTCTGACAGCAAATTTGCGAGACACCTGCAATTACAAGTATTTTCTTTGAAAATCTAGCCAGGAAGGTCATTTTGCCATGGGTTTTTTCCTAGCTCCTCACTGCTTGTCAGCGATTATCCATTTTTCACCCCTTCCACTCCAAACAAGGCAGGATTTTGGTGCATGGGGCTTGGGATTTTATTGCTAAGAAGCTAGCAAAATGGCTACGACCTTTAAACTGTGTTTTGCGAAGTTGCTTATTTTAAAAAAATTGATGTTTAAGATGTCATTTTTCAAGTAAGAGAAAAATGAGGGCCTGGATTCCTACAATGTTTGAGTGCTGTGGGAGGGGGTCGCAGATAAATTTTGGATGGTGCTTACACGTGTTCCACAGTCAAAAGGCTTGAATTCAAAGTATAGCAGAACTGAACAACATTTGATTATGTATGCAAAGCCATGTGAAGCCTGTGCACACTATGTGCAATTAAGTGGCTGGAAGTTGCAGTTCTCTTAGTTTTACAATTGTTACTGGGAATGCTGTTATTTTGGTTTGGACAGGACAGTCTTAGAGAGAAGGCTCTTGTTTACACTTTTAACTCTACAACTTTTTGTAATGGTTAATTCTTTTGATTTAGTCAAAAGTCAATATTGACTGTATAACTGAATTATCATTTCCAGTCATTAATTTTCCCTTTTTTCAGCTATTTTGTGCCAAATTTGACATTTAGTGCTCCTTTGGTAAAATGTTTGAGAAAGAAAGTTTTCAGTGAGTAAAGAACAATTTTGGGGGGGGGGTAACAAATTAAAATGATACTGACTTTTTTTCATAAAAAAGGGGCTTTGGGAACCATTAAATCTGGAAAAATGATAAGAAAACATGACAACCACCTTTTTCTGTGATTTTAGCCTATTGTGATATGATGCAGAACCAAATGTAAAAACTATGTGCAATTTATCTTGCTCAAAGTTTGAATCAAGATTTTGATTGGTCAAAAGTCAGCAAGAACCTGAACTACTTGTATGTATTGTCCCAAAGACTTCTGCTAGGACTAAATGAACAACACCAAGGGACATAGGTTGCAATGATTTGACTACCAAATACCTTCAAATTTATAGGCCGGGGTAAATCCTTAGTTTACAGAAATGTTTAAAAGTTGCATACTTAGGTGGTATATTGTGGCCTCTGGATAAGGATAAGATATTAGGATAAAACGCCCATTTTTTGACTGGCTCTGAACAAGTATTTTTTGAAGTTTAGTAGAATTCAGTACTTTTGTTGGTCTTACTGTTTGTACATGTACCAATCACAAGTTGAAATTAATCATGCACTGAAGAATTTCCTATCAATTATGAAATCAACTATGTCATGCTTGATTGTTTCAGATATGCATATGATGGTTGCCAATCCAGAGAAGGTAGAAGACTACTTTTCCATGATAATTTGAGAGCACTTGAAATTTTTTTTCAAGCAAAGGTTTTCTTTTAACATGTCAAGTATGTTTTAAGAGTTAACAAAAAACGACTTGTAATTCTTTATTGGATAGTGGGTGGACAACATGGCAGATGCAGGGGCTGTCCAGTACACCTTTCACTTGGAAGCCAACAGGGCAGGCCTAATTGAGCATAGAATTTATTAATTAAAAGTCATTTAAATTTGATTGACTGATTGACCCATAGTGGAACAATTAAATTTCAAATCCACTCTAAATTTCTGATCTTTGTTAAATTAAATGCATTTTCATCATATTGCTTTCAGATAAACCAGTGGACTCGATTAACCAAATCAAAAAGGCTGGTGTGAAGGTACCATGATTGATTTCCACAAAATTTAGTATGTTGATAGAATTTCATGAAGTTGATTGAAGCACATCCATATGATGTTCATTCCATCCCATTTAATATATTGTTAGTATTTATTAGGAATACCTGTTTTCATTTTTTGTCTTGCATCTGGCTCTCAAACTCTACCAAATAAACTATGATAGACAGATTAATTCTCCTTTGAAATGTTTCTGCATCCCCCTGTACATGTGAAATAGTGGATTAAGTTGGTTGTACATTTATTTAAAAGTATAGTCACTGAGGAGTTTTTTCCAATCACCCTCTCTTTGGATAGATCCCAGTAAAACAATTTCTTTATCATCTCTTTTGTTCTAAAAGTACATTTTACAATATAAACAACTCTCATGATTAATATTTTGGTTTGTGGTCATTTTGATGCACATTTACAGGGGTTTCATTAAAGGCCAGTAACTGGCGGCCTACCGCCACCTGTGAGACCTCTCACCACTCTCTGTTAACCCTTTAACTCCCAAGATCTCATTAATAATTCTCCTCACTGTCTGCCATATAGTTCTTGTGATGTTAGTTTGGAGAATTTGTATTAGATCAACTAATGATCCCTTAGTTAATAGTTTTTTTTATTCAGACTCATCGCTTGTCTGCATGATATTGTATTGATATTGTAAGGAGAACTTCTGTCTTGGTCACTCATGGGAGTTATAGCCTGGGTTAACTTGTGAGTAGGCTCTGATGTTTAGCTTTTGTCTTAAAACACAGCTGCTAATTGCACCATCAGGAGCTGCTTTTGGGAAAAAGTAATTAAAACTTGTCAATGTATGTATAATTATCCCTTTTTTATCTCTGTCTTATAAGTAACACATTTTTACTCAAATAAATCATGCTCTAATTTAAACTGCCTTGTACACAAACATAGCTGCATCCAGTAATTTGATGTAATATTACTTACTTATGTTTTACTATTGAAGAATAAACGCCACAGGAAGAAAGTTAAAAGAATGTCAGGATTACAGATGGGAATTAGATTGTGACCTCTTACATTAATAAGGTAAAGTGTGGAAAACTCTTGTGTATTCCCACAAGGGACTTGAATTTTTTTTCCTGTCAACAAACTTGTAAATTTTAGATTATCAATTGAAGAAAGTCTTGAGGGTTAAGTGGTAAGAAACATGGTCAGAAAGAATATGTAGCATTGAAATTGGTTTGTTCCAATGAATAATCGTGTCATTAAGTGCTTTCAAAAACTAATGTTAAATTTGTACCTTATTAGTTCTTATCTTCATGTTTTATGGAATTATTTCTAAGGGATTACAAAAGTGCTACTGGAAAGGTACTTAGATTGTGGGTTATCAATTAAATTGTTTTGGGTTTTTTGGCAGGTCCAATTTTTAAGAACCAAATACAGGGTTGTGGACATTGAAGTTGATGGAG